AGCAGTTCTACTGTGCACACACGGGGTCGCCGTGAGTCAGAATCGACTTGACAGCAACTAACAACATGTGGCTGCAAAGGGTTAAAAATGCACAAAAAGATGCCATAAGCTGAAATTGTGGGGGTTTATAGCAGCTTCGTCCCCCCCAACTGATTCCCTGCGTAAACCAGGCTAAGTCGGGGTCTCTCTCCCTTGCCAGCTTAGGGCCAGCCTCCCGGCTCTGCGGAGCCCACTGCTAACCTCGGAGCTGTACACATCAGCACGTGGGAGGCCCTCCGCCCCACGGCTGGATCCCAGGCTTCCTGGCACCTCCTACCCGGCCAAGAGCCCTGCTCCCTGCTGGCCCCTCTTCCTCTTCTTCCTCTCCCAGGACTGGGCAGAAAAGTCCAGGGTGTGGGACACAGTGGCCTTTCAGGGTCCCTTCCTGGGCAACCACGAGGCTGGGCCAAGGCCAGGAGGGTTGGGGTGGACCGTGGTAACACTGCATCATTGGAATGCACTCACCCCGCCCCCCCATAGCCTAGGGCAAAGTGTCCTTGCGTGACCTATGTACTGGCAGCTTCTCTAGAGCTCTGAGTTGTCCAGAGCCGATGTTTAGTGAGTGGCTGCTGCCTGCCAGCCCCTTCTGTGCATCGTGGCGGCAAATCCCTACCACAGCCTTATGACAGCACCCCTTATTATCCCTGCCCCGTCTACAGATGGAGAAACTGAGGCTCAAAGAGGTTACACAGCACACCCAGGACCCCTGGCTCACTTGCACTGGGTGCAAACTTTTAGCAAAACTTGGGAGACGCAGCTGTTTCTATATGACTTTCGGGTAGTTTCTTGGGCTCCCCAGGTCTTTACTGCCCCGGGGCCTGCGGGAAAGTGGGGGAGGAAGCCCACTGGCTGAGCCACCTGTGCAGGCCCACACTGACAGCCCACATCCTCCACTGCCCCCCCACCTCCGTGACGGGGCTGCTCACCCTCTCTGTGGGGCACACCGGCCCTCCTGGCCCCTCACCTGAGAGTCAGAGATTTCTGAGGGCTTCTCTGTCAGGCTGCTGCTCTCGGCGGGGATGAGGTCGTTGTACTTGGTGACATCCTCGTCCGAGTAGTGGAGGCTGCCCGGGCTGGGCCTCGGAGGAGACCTAGAGAGAACGGTGGGGCGGGGGGGCAGTGAAGATGAGAGAGGGCCCCCCTGGGAGCAGCGTCTGGCCGGGAGCGCCACCGCTGGGGCCTGAACTCTCCTGAGCCCGGGGAAGCGAGGGTGAGGATGGTGGGCAGAGATGGCAGGGCAGACTTCTGGGGGTCCCTGGGCAGACGGCCTGGAGCAGCCTCTCCACTCTGTGTCCCCCTCCTTCCTGCATCTGCTCTCCCTAGAGCCTTGGAGAGTGGGGCCTTGGGCTGGGGACCTTGCCTGCGGGTGGGGAAGGCTCAGGATGCTGGAGGCCCAGGGACCAGCCCAGCCAGCCTCTAGGGAAAAAGTAGCCATGATTTTCAAGTTGTGGTTTCAAGACCACCGCACTGGAGCCACTTGGTGGTGACTGTTACAAACCTCTCTCTCCCCAGGCGAATTCCCAGGTGAGGCCTGGGTACCTGCCCTGCAGACAAGCTCCCCAGGTGATTCTCAAACTCACAAGGGAGCTTTGCGAAGAGCTAGCACAAAGGGTTAGTAGAAAATCGCTCCCTCCTAAGCTGCTCAGAGACCAGAAACGCTCTCGAGGGCCAAGCCACACCCCAGTTCTTGACAATCAGGCCTGCGCATTTCCCAGTGAGTTAGGGCCCAGGCATCTGAGTCATGGAGCAGAGATACCCCCAGGTCAGGGGCCTTGGGCACTGGGCGGCCCTGGGCTGTGAACTAGAGGCTGGTCTCCTGAGCCCGGAAGCAAGGGTGAGGACAGTGGGCGAAGAAGCCAGCAGGGCAGGCTCCCGGGGGTATCTGGGCATGTGGCTGGGGTCCTCCATGACCCTACTGCTTGTATCTGTCGGAATGGGGTGTAAGGGGCCAGCATGGTCCAGTGCCTGGCGTGCCAGGACCTGCCCAGCACCCCCCACGAAGGTTT